AACTTTAATTAAATTTTAAAACATACTTTAAATAATCGATAGACTTTTTTATTAAGATAAGTAACTATTAAAAAATGCCGTTAAAGTGGTTTTTTATTATTAAAATTTTTAATTAAGTAGAAATTTTGTTTTTGCTTTCTTGAATTTTTTTAGAGATTAATTTGATAAAATTTGTCTCTACACTTAACAAATACTTTTGTTTAATTTCATTGTTATAAAAATTTAAGATGTATTTTAGAATTTCTTGTTTTATTTAAAATTAATAATTATTAAAAGATTAAGCAAAAATCATTTTAAATACACTTTAACTTTTACATTAATAACAAATATTTGTATTTAATACTCTTATCACAAAAAATAAGCAATCTAATAGTATTATAATCAAAGCTTTTTAAAAAAATTTATAATTCTTACCTTATAATTATTTACAGTGATAGTCTAAAAACTTATCAATTTAAAGTATTTAGAAAATATTTTACATGTTTTTATCTATTTATAGAATAGTTACGTATTTAATATATTTATTTTAGAAAAAACTGAGCATTTAATGTTAATATAATAATAAAAAAATTATAAATGTTGATTAAAAAATTTGCAAAATTCTATCTTTCAGTAAGATAAGGATTCAAAGCATACTTGTAAGTTGAAAATGATTGTTTAAAAAATTGAATTTAATTTTTAGATTCAAAATTTGAATCTATTAAAAATCTTTAACAATATTTTAAACCTATAAGTATGTAACTACTCTATAAATACATACAGATAGAAATAAAAATTAAACTAATATTTTTCAAAATACTTTTAATTAGTTACGTTTTTTTAACTCCACTGTAATAATTAAAATCATTATAATTTTTATTAAAATTAATAAATGCTAAGTGTCTAATTTCTAGTTTAAGACATCGTTTTTATATTTTTAAAGCACCATTCCATATTTAATATATCTTTCAAATTTATAACATCATCTACCAATTAATAGTTTTATTACACTACTACACAATCATAAGTTAAAAACTTTATCTAAAAAAACTATATGAAAATTAAAAATCAACAGTTATTTTATAAATTTCAAAAATATTTGTACAAACTTTAATAAAATTTTTAAAATCATTTATTAACTATTCAACAATTAATCATTAAGTCGTTTTCATTATTAAAAAACACTTATAATTTTTTATAATATTTTTTAACATTTCTAAAACTCTCTCAATTTATAATATTTTAATCTCACTAATTAATTTTTTATTAACATTAAATTCAATAAATATTTCTTTAAAATATTAAAATAATAATTTTGATTAAAAATTTCTTTATTTTAAATTATAAAATCAACTTTTATTAATCTTTTTTAATTCATTTTTAGAAATATTTAATTTTTCTAAAACATTTAACTTATTTAATAAAATAGGCCAAACAAGTTCATCAATTGTATTCTTACAAATTAAATAGTGAATATCAACACAATTTACTTGTCTAATTCTATGAATTCTATCCTCAGCCTGTAACATTACACCAGGATTCCAAAATAACTCTGCAAATATCACTGCTATTCCAGCTGTCAAATTAAGACCAGTTGATGCAGCAGTTATTGATAACACTGCTACTCTTATTTCATCGTTTGATTGAAAATCCTCTACCAAAGCAAATCTTTTTGAAACAGAAAAAGACCCATCAATTCTTATAAATTTTACTTTCTTTTCCTTAAGAAAATCACTAATACAATTTAACATATCAATGTGATGTGCAAATATTAAAAACTTAATATTTTTTTCTAAAAATGATTCTAAATACTCACAGACCGGCTTTTGTTTAAGAACTGCTGCTTGGTTGAATTTCTTTATAATATCTGTGTTATTTTCTATACCTTGTAAATCAATAAAAGACTTTCCTTTTATGGAATCATCATTAATATTTACTTTTTCTTTTAATTTAGTTTCATTATTCTTTAATAAAATACGTCTCCTGGTTTTTGGTGGTAAATCTTGTAACACATTAACTTTTAATCTTCTTATCATCATGTCTTTTTCTAAAATATAACTTAATTCAG